ATATATATACACATATATATGTATATATATATAATATGGCTTGCGTGGGGTTTATATATAAGGGAGAGGCCTTTATTTCAGCCAAGTTCGCAATAATAAGATCACAATGTCTCTGCGTTATCACCTTGTTGCTATACCGGTGGATACTAACTCATTCAAAAGCCTCTCTTTCGTATCATCGCGCATTTGATACCAAAGAGATCTATCAAAATACATCATCACTAATTCACTAATCTCAATCTAACGAAAACAATGGCAAGCAAGAGAAAAGTGCTGATGATTTAATTTTACCTCGAAAAACGTCAATGTCGCCAATACTTTTCAAACAATAAATAAAGTTTGATCAAATTTATACAAAGCATAAGGTTATCAATTGAAATAATAAAAAATAGACCAGACTCAGGTTCTCTGGATTAAATTTTTTTTTAATCTTTTTGTAAATTCTTTTTATGAAAATAGATATTTTATGAATTTATAATTCGTATTAAAAAATATATATGTATATACATAATTAAAATGTACATTGCACCATTTTGTTGAATATAAAATAGTGAAATATAATTCCCGCGATCTCTAAAAAACGCTTATATTTGGAGTTTTCTTTAGATTGAATACAAATTAATTACAAAGCGTAAAAAGAAAAGTCAAACTGAAGTATAAAAAGTATTTTTCGTTTGCGAAAATCTTATTGCGAAACATGTTTTACATTATGAGGAAAGCTATCAAAAGATCTTCTTTTGGGACCACGTGTACTTCGTATTATATCGTCTGTCAGAAGACTTGGGCATCCCGAGGACATCTTTTCGTCTCTGATAATTATATACAGGACATCTCAAAATCACCCTCATAAAAAAAAAACTAGAAGTCAGAGCGATTTTGAAATCCTGTACAAGAAGGTGAATATCGAATGCTAGAATGAATGAATTATGAATTTCGGGTTGACGCCCCGAATTATATCACCATTGCCTTCCATAGTCATCACACTTTCTCGATTAGAATAAGGTGGTTTACCGCGGCATTTCACTGATAGACGACGTCTCATCGCGACGTTACTAGTGCATCTCGACGAAAGCGCGGAGGTGCGCGGGCACTCTGCTCATGTTCTGCGTCTTTCTGACCACTCGCGCGGCCAGGCAGGTGAGCGTGGTGTACCTCAACGGGCGCAGCGAGTCGTAAAGCTCCTTGTTGCACAACAACATTCGGAACGTCTTGCCGTCGTTGTTCACCGCGTCGAGATGCGCGCCGGCTTCGAGCAGGTCGATCGACAGATTCGGTCGCCAGGGGTGCAGCAGCGCGGTAAGATGCAGAGCCGTGTTACCGTCGTTGTCCCGGGCGGCAACGTTCGCGCCCACTTTCAGCAGGGCCTTGGTCAAGTGAGGAGACGGGAATTTGCATGTGGGATACCTGCCAACCAGCGCACCGTCCTCGCTGTGGACCAATTGCAGTGCGTCGCGGCCCTGAAAACACGTCACAGTACCGGAAACGTAGACATCTACGGCTGCTCTTTTAGTCTCTCAATTATTATTAATAACTGTCACAAGTGCCCCCCCCCCCCCCTCCCGCACTCACCTGTCTGCCTTTGGCGTTTATTTGGATTAACTTGTAGAGCTCCTTGTGCAAGGCGTCGTATTCTTCGCTATCCTTTTCCCCGGTCTCTCGTGTTAATAGGCACGCCAAGTGGAGAGTGATGATGAGGATTCTGTTCAAGAACGTTAAGTCGCGCTCGCACGCCAGAACGCCCATCTTGTCCAACATTTGCTTTCCCTTCGCTACCTCGTTAACCTACAAACAAGCAATTTTTGCGGCGTAACAAATAATGCGTCGATGGACTGGGGATATCGGACGGACAACAATGATGTGCCATGTATACTCACGGCTTTCTCGAAAACTCTCAACAGATCTTCCCTCTTTACCGGCGGCACTCTGCGCCCCCTGGTCGTCTGTCTACCTTCCTCGCCCACCATGAAGCTGAAGAGTTCAGTGAAGCTGAACAGAGAGCTTTGCGTCATGGGGTTTAGCGGTTCCAGCATGCTCTGCTGCATGTCGAGAGCGTAGTTCCACAGTTCGATGCAACGACGGAATTTACCCGCGTCCGCGTAGACAGCTCCGCGGTATCTAATGTAATAGCTAGTGTCTGGATGAGCCGGTCCTAATATTCGTTCTCTGATCACCAGTGCCTGCATGCGCATTTCGTCTGGGTCCGCTAACAGATCGTCCAGGGCTTCGGGTTCGATTACCTCTCGGGCGAAATCATAGGCGGCTACGAGTGGTGGAGATTCGGGTTTTGGTATCACCGGTCCGTCTCCCCGATATCTGACAATGAGCGAAAAAAAAAAATGTATAAATATCGCTAAAGACGTGTAAATTTTCTTTTTAACATATAAAAATAAAATATATACTAAAATATAAATGATACTCATTTATAAAAATAAAAATATTTGTTTTAGAAAATTTATGAAAAATAAAATTTATATATTTTATAAATTTGTGTTTTACGTTTTCGAGATTATACAAAATCATATAGGAAGTTCTAAGATAAAAAGCACGCGGATTTCAGTCACGGACTGACAGCCTGTCCGTGTACGGAGACGTACCGCTCCGACATGGCAGTCTTCCAGAACTGCAGGGCGCCAATCATGTCCCTCTTTTTGTCTACGTACGTGGCCCCGAGCAACTCCAGCGCGTCGATACGTTCTTTCCTGCTGAACAGGTGGGGAATGCCTATGAGATACTCGACGATATGCGTGTGACCTGGAAGAGAGGAAACGAAGAAACATTCGGTCAGTGCTCGCTTTTTCCTCGCGGTCGTCTAAGCGTCGTGGAGCAGATCGCTTCGGACGAGCTAAATAAACTGTCTTAGGGGAACCTTCGAGTGGTGCGTGGAACTTTCTGCTTTAACCTGTTACTGCTGCCGCGAGGAGTGGCGTCATCCCGTAAGAGTCCACGTCCATCTGGGCGCCGTGCTGGACAAGTATCTTCAGTATCTCCAAGGATCCGCTCTCGGCGCAGTCGTGTAACGCCGTATTGCCCTTCACGGACTTGCGATTCGCGTCCGCTTTCAGGCCGAGTAGGAACTTCGCGATTTTAACGTGACCCCGGTAGCACGCGATCATCAGGCATGTGTGCCCGTGTCGATTCGCCATCTCGATATCTGATAACGGAAGAAAAACATTGGTAAAAATTTCGGACAAAATTAAAAAAAAAAAAAATTTATTTAACAACATAAATTTCTTCTTTTACAAAAAAAAAAGAATCTTGACTAGTAAGCGTAATTTTTACCACTGCACAAAAGTTCGCGCAGTTATATTTTTCTAAATTGCGAAACTTGCTCTACTTTCGTTCACTCTTTCGTGAAAGAAAATATTGCATGAAACTTATGAAATAATTTCCAAATTTATATTTCTTAACTTTTAATTTAAGTCTCAAATTTATATTTGTATCTTTTCTCACCTGCGCCGTATTGCACTAAGAACCTGACTATATCGAAGTGTCCGTCGAAGCACGCAGCACGGAGGGGCGTGGAATTAGTTTTCGTGATTGAGTTCACCTTGGCTCCTCGTCTCACTAGCAGCTTGACTAGGGCCAAGTGGCCAGCGGCCGCCGCGCACCACAGGGGTGGTGCACCCTCGATCGTCTCGCCCTCGAAGACCACTGTTTTCGAGGAAACATTCTGGGTTAAAAAAATCTCACTATCAAAGCGCAGAGTCTACTTACGAAGCGTAGTTCTGACTTGCAAAAAAACTAATTACGCAAACATTAATAATAATCACAAGTATAAGAATTCACGTGAATTGCAATAAACTGTGCAAGCTTACGCGAAAAGTTTATTTATAACAACCACAATTTTTAAGCTACCAATGTAGTATAAAAAAAATCCCGAACTTGACACGAAAGAAATTAAGAACGCGCGTCTTTGCCAAACGTCACTTATGATTTCAAGGCTGATCGCGATAACAAACGGATCGATGGCCTCAGCAGGGGCCGCCGATGAAAGGAACTGCTGTCTGACCTGATCCGGGCTGCTCCACGTCTGCCCCACATTTTTCGATGAGGTACTCCGCCACGTCGTAATGCCCGTTCCGACATGCCATGACTAAGGGTGTTGCGCCATGGGTTTTGGCACCGACTAGTTGTCCTACCTCATCCTTGCCCCGGTGCTCCAGGAACACCTTTCGAAGAGAGAAAAGGAATCTTCAGTCGATTATGCTCTTGATTCTCTTACGAAAATACCATTAAAAAAATCATCGCAACTAAATCCGCGAAAAATGATACACAAGTTCCAAGGTAACTCGCGCGTCGACTTACGTTCGACAGTGCGGACCCCGTGTTGAATCGCTTAATGAAAACTTGCGTGAATAGCACGGAACGTGCCGTGCGATGCGTACAGACAGATATTTCGAAGCCGACTGGCTTAAACTGCTTAAAGTCTAAGCGGAAATGTGCTGTGCAACGCGAGTCACACCTATGCACCCGAGGTCGAGGGGATTCGCAATAAATATTTAAATTTTAAAAATTCTTCTCCCCTCTTCTTCCCGCGTGCTGTCCCGCGTTCTTTTATTTCCTCACAGTGACAATTTTTTTCAGTCTGCCACTTATACTTCACTGTTTCTCCTTGCAAATTCTTATTCCAATATTGTTCTTGTGTCCGTGTTTCTCTGTTCCGAACACTCGGAATTATCGGATTTCGATGAACGAGCACAATTTTTGAATTCAACAAATGGAATTCAGAAGGAAGAAAATTCGAGTTCACGAGACAGGAACTTGGGGAGACAAGTTTATGTCGAGTGTCCAAACGTCGTCTGAAGATAAGAACCCAAGTAGTTACTCGACGTCGACGTTCACTGCCAATTTGAACACCACGTGGCTACGGTGGCATGTTTCATTTGAGAGACTGGGCCCTTGCGTCACTGACAATCCGCGGAAACGTGCAACGCGAGAGATGACAAAAGTTTCAGTTCTCCGTCCTTCGCAGCCACACGCGAAAACGTTGTTTCTCCACGAGAAGTGCGCGAGATTTCAAGTGTCACCGAGCCAAGTGTCAAATAATGTTACGACAATGTTGACGGAGCATTAAACCGTTTATTACGTTTGGCAATCAAATAATGAATGTATAATTGTATGACCGTGCGTTACGACGATCCGCTTGAAAGCGTCGTCGCGGTCGGAGAGGCCAGCCGAGTCAAGTCACATTGAATTGCGTTCGGAAGGCGATCGATTCGATCTATATTCCATTTCCTTCCGGCGTCGGAAGAGACTGCGATTTGGGAAAAATTACAGTTCCTTCTTTTTTTACACGGCTCGTTCGACGGCGTTCACACGTTCTCGTTGGCGTTCGATATCGAGAATACTCGGCGATTTAATCCCCTTGTCTCGTTGCACGCGAAATCGGAGCAGTTCACCACGCGCGTGCCCGCTTAGAGGAAGACTGAGCGACGATAAACCGAATCTTCCAACCAACTGCCTTCTGGAGAAATCATTCGCCGACCATCCGTGGACGTGCGAGTCCCGTTAAACGAATAATCGGAGACATTGGGGCCCATCGTGACAGGCAAACTACTGCTTACGATGGGCCGCTACCGGGAGAAAGAGGGGCAGAGCCGATACTTTTCAGCTTTGTGTTTTGCCGCGCTCCTCCTCCTCCTCCCTCGCATTTCTCCCTCTTTAATGTTTCCCCTTTCCGAGGAAAGGACCTACATACTTTTCGTGAAAGCTTCACATTGTTTTTACTAAAAAAGAAGCAAAAAAGGGAAAATCCATATCGAAAAAAATTATTGCCAAATATTAATGTTGAACTTAATTTGTATATAAAAATTTATATGTATTTATATATAATTTATATATATAAAAAAGAAAAAATCTATAATATTTACGTATTAATATAATAATAATAATAATAATAAGTATAGTTTCTCCATATCTTCATTTTTTTTTACTGACTTTAATTTTTTTTTATATACAGAAATACGTAGTTCTAATATTCTATATTCGAAGTTCTAAAAATCCGATTACGATACACGGAGAGAATTTTTTTTTTAATTTACCCTGCAAATCATGTTAATTGTGAGACAATATAGTATTTAGGCAAATTTTACTGTGCACTACAATAAATTTTACTGTATTTTACTACTGTCAAATTTATTGTAGTGCACAGTAAAATTTTCCTAAATACTTTATTGTCCCAGAATTAACATGATTTGCAGGGTAAATTAAAAAAAATTCTCTCCGTGTATGATTGTCATCTTAATGCAATTGAGGAGTTTCGGTCTTTAATCGGGATCTCTCAACAAATCCCTCCAGCTATTTTTACGTTTCTCGTTCTCTCATTTCGGTACCCACGGAAAGCCGGTGCCGTTATTTGTGCGGTGACCGATTTACTTTTTCGTAAGCCCGTTCATCCCGCGTCGATTCCCCGCTGCCCCACCTCATTGTTACATCCTCGTTCGGTTCCTCGATAAAATGTAGGTAACGAGGTCAGCCGATGCCAAAACGGTCTCACAAAAGATGAGACCTTCGTCTCTTTTATGCTCGGACCAAAAAAATACGCGAAATTGCGGGCATCTGGACGGTAATCTTCTTGAGAGAAACGCAACAGTTGCGGAAAACGGTTAAGTAAATGTATCTATAATGACCATCAAATGTATCTATAATGACGGTTAAATGCATCTGTAATGACGGACTATTAATAATAATGACGAAGTTGTACCTCGAAACAATACGATGATTGTAAAACGAAACACTTTTTTCACCTCGCTCCAAATTACCTATACTTGTGTAAAATACAAATCCACAGAGTGCAATAATCGTGAAAATAGATCCACGAGTCAAAAGTTAAAAAAAAATTGTGACACCGAAAGATCACCGAGGTGCAGTTACGTAAAATCGCATTGAATTTTTTCGATGTCAGCGATAAGCGATTTTCGCAACTGTGTCGAAGTGGTGGTACTATTTCAACACGCGATAAGGAAATATCCGGCTTCGATTATCGCCCCCCGACGGATATCAAGATCCGAATAACAAATTATTTCTCCTATATAATGGTATTATTGTCATATTATCTTCCGGCGTTTGTCTTTCGTATAGAAAATGGGTTATTGTAACATACTTTCTTCCGGCTGTCTTTCAATGGATCGGTAATTATCGCGCTTTTTTTTTCTTCACATGCTGAAGAGGGCATTTAAATGCTCCTGAAGCTTTCTCTACGCGGGAAAAATCGTACGACGCAGGAAAAATCGCGAAGAGATAGCGGAACCGTTCGTCAAGTTCATCGATACCGTCTTTTATAGTCTAGTCGTAAATTTAACGCTGAAAACAATTAATGCCAGTTGTAAAACCCGCGGTCAAGTACCGTAATACACCACCGGGCGCGGCGTGGCGTACGTGTGTTTGCGTCGGTAGCCGGTGCACGCGTGTGCAAGTACGTGTTGTGTGTTGTTGCAAGCGCGCGGAAGACGTCCCACTTAAATTTCACGCTCGCCACTTCGCGAAGAAGCGTTTAGTTTGCCTACGTCGCATTGCGAGAAGTAGCACGCGTCGTGAATAAGCCACCGATTCGTTCGCTTTGTGTCATCGTTGACAGCGCCTCTTTGATAGATGAAGAAATTTGATTAGATACATCCATACATGAAGAGGCGCTGTCAATCTTCAATGCGAAGTAGGTGTTCGACTTTACTTATGACATTTTAATACGCAGCGATATCGCGTCGGCCGACGGAAGAAGTTTTTGAGCAACTGATTCTATTGTTCGAGAGAGAGAGAGAATAGTAAAAGTGGGAATGCACGGGATCAGTAATCAACGCAATCACGTAAATCGTTCATCCGTATAGTGATTAATGATGTAACATCGCGGAATGATGTACCGTGATATTCACGAGCATATCTTAAGTCATAATGATGATTAATAACGCATTTATTTTTCGTAGACATATAAATATTTATGTCTAAATATTAAACTTACGTAAGAACTCACATTTAGAATATGTTATGCATAAACAGACATTTTATAATTTAATTCGATAAATAAAAATAAACAAGGTGAGCTACTGAGCCAGCTTGATATTCGTGCTAATAATGTTATGGATTTGTAATAATAATAAATTATTTAAAACATACGTTTGGATCCTACACAACTGATCATCTTCAGTGTTATAAATTAAGAGTCAGGAAAACGCATACATGTGTAAGATGACCAAGTCTTGTAGAGTCGAAATGTATCGTTGCGCCCCCGGATTCTTGCTACTTCGTCCTCTCCCGGTGTTGAACAGCTGACGGGAAAATCTATATTTTGTATTGATTTTCCCAAAAAAAAAAAAGATCGTTTCCTTCCAGCTGAGCTGTTTTACCCCTTTAATTCTGCGATATCTGAGTTGTCCGAAGCTGTCTTGACGTATGGATCACTTTACGCGAGTTTTGGGAGTTTCCTGATTCTCGTATGATTATGTATGATTCACGTTCTACATTAGGCGTATTGCAGGTCCTCACAAGTGTTGTGTTTCTTTTGTGTGAGTGCGGTGTGATAAAGCACGCTCGAACGCAAGCGCAACATTTTGTGTCAATTATACAAAACACTGCCGAAGTTCGCATTAAGTCAGTCCAGTCAAGACAACTCCAACACTTAAGGTATCGAAGTGTTAAAGGGGCAAACTCGTCGGCAGGGAACGATCTTCTTCTTTCGGAAAATCATTAATGTTATATAACTTAATTTAATTATTCTTCCTTCCGAGCCCTTTGCCTCTTGTCAAAAGCGTGGTGAACCCTCATTGTATTTCTGTAGTGTGCGCTATTTACATTTTATACAGATATACAGGATCTACAGTTTTAACGCCGCGCCGGTTCCAAACGGCTTAATTTAGAGGGGTTTTCATGGCAAGATTTACTCTTGGTAAGGCTGTCGCTTGCCTTCCCTGCGAGAGGTAGCGCGATCGTGGCGCAGAGAGTTGATGCGTCTGCTTTCGGTGCCGAAAATCTAGATTTCAAATCCTGACTATCAGAAACACGCAGATGTTCACTCGATTGTTAAATTGAATAAAAATCCGCTTGTTTCTGATAGTCGGGATTTGAACCCGGGTCTTTGGCACCGAAAGCAGACGCACACAACTTTCTGCGCCACGATTGCTACAATTTAATTGTTACCTACATTATACAAAATACCTACATAATATTAGCACGAATATCCAGCTGGCTCAGTAGCTTACCTTATTTATTTTTATTTGTCGAATGTTATTCGTATGGGCCTCTATTTCTGCTTTATTTAAATTTTATATTTTAATGTTATTAAATAATATTATGTTTTATTATATTTTACAATTTGATATTAAAGTGAAATGTTATTAAAGTAAATTAAATAATTACGTAAATAAAATTCATTTAAAGTTTATATTTTAAATTTTTTACAGTTATGTAATATGCAGTTTACAGAGTGAAACACTCCATCTATCTAGAAAGCTTATTGACGATGTAAAATACATATACGTTACATTGTACGGAACTGCAATCAATATTTCTGACAATCGATATTTCAGACAAAGAGGAGAAGTGAACGAGGTCCAATGAAGTCACATTTAAATTCACTACAAAATATGCAATTTACGCGGAAACGCCGGAAAATCCTATCACGCCCGACCTCGACCGACTTTGTTACTCGCACGGTAATTACGCCGTCATAATTACGCGTCGGTATTTTCGGAGCGGCGCGGCGGCAAAAGGCACCCCCGCGACAATTATGATTACGGCATCCGAGCGTGCGCGAACGTTGTTGAAAATTAGGCTCGCCCGTTTGTCCACGGGCGGCAATTACGGCAATAATCGCTCCGGACATTGCTGCGCGGGCGAGCGATTATTGCCGTATAATCATTGCTCGGACACGTAAAGTGCACCTATCCGATCGACAACATTTACAAGCTGCAACGGCAACGATTTAGAAAGTGATCGATGCCGATCGTAATTGGCTATTACAGTGGGAGTCTGATCAAAAAATCAGATAACGCCTCTCACTTATAGATATAGCTCTTTTTTTTTCTCGGATTTATATTATCATATTATTATCATATTTAAGATAATCACCTGATCGTTTAATTCCCTTTGTACCGCGAGATATATAATCCATCTAGCCTCTGTCTGTTTCATATTTTCTTTTGCACCTCCGTCTATTTCTGCTTTTACAATCTCATTTAGCGTTCTACATATCATATATCCCGTTATACTTCACTGATGTTTTGTCTATCCTGCGTTTTGTTGTATTCTCTATCTTTTTTTGCGTTCTGCTTATCAACGCTTTGCTTTCGTTCTGTCCATTTCGTATTATGAATACGATATTTTTAATTTCTTGGTAGGCATCATAGCAACAGCCTTGCCTCTTGCGTATACATTTCTATTATTATAGCCGCGTGCATATGTATATATATATATATATATATATATATATATATTGCATTCTGCATTGTAGATTAAGTTGTTTGAGTGAGTCCCGATCGATCAGCTTCGCGACGTACTTCGTCGGCGCGAAACTTGTTTTAAACTTTCAAATACAAATAAAACTTAATTAATTGCAAATAAGACACAAAAGAGAGAGACTTGCATAAAATGCAAGTCGATTAAGCTATTTATCTAACAACCAATTGCATGCTATATGCTTCTATGTTTCATTAACAGACCTTTCGTTTTCTAAACCGAAGGTCTCTCCGCCTCGTACAGTTCCGCTTCGTCACGCGAAAATGTGTCACAAAAAGAAATTTTATGCAACGATTAATTAAATATACGCGAAGGCTCCGCGGGGACGCAAGTATTACAAGGCAACGATCCGCGGAGGGACGGAGTTGTTGAGCGCTCTGCTTTTACGTGACTCACTACACAGCTACGATGACGCTGATGACGCTGACGACAACGGCTCGAAATGCACGCACTTTGTCACCTGGGAAAGATCATTAACCTACGCGTGAACTCCACTCGCGTGACAATTAAAAATGTAACGCGCTAAAAGAAGTGCGCAAGGAGCGTAACAATCGCAGCAGCGTCATTATCTGGTCCGCCTGTCCCGGTTGAACTTCCCACGCTTCTGTTCCTTCCTGCTTTCCATCCACATAGTTTAAATGCACATTGTACATTATATTATAATACCACAATACATCTTCTATATATATATTATATTCAAATAGATTTCATTTCAATTTCGGAGAACACAAAAAGATAATATATCCTCCCGTTCCTCCCCTTTCCATTCGATACGAGATGTGATTTTTATATTCAAGCACAGCTAATTATATAGATAATAAAGGAGAAAATTATACTTTGACACGTCATGTATTAACAAATTCGTAAAAATAATCCGCAAAAAAAGGAAACAGAAAAAACACATACGGTGGTTTCTGTATTTCCTGTTTTTTGTTTTGAGAAACCCGTGATGTACGATTATGAATATGAATTAGATGTTCCAAACAAAAAGCAAGAGCGGTCGCGGTCCTCAAAAGATTTGAGAAGGCAGTATTTTTTAAAAAATTCAGGTTTCGTGATTTCCGGGTCCGTGATTCGGAATTGATTAGATCGTTCTCATCAACTCAATAGGCCGAGAGAGAAAAAGAGAGAGAAGATCTCAATGCGCAGCGTATTTCTCTGTTAGGGACAACGAACTATCATTGGCCAGACGAAAATATACTCCGAGAACGCGCGCGCACCTTTCGTCAGTCCATTCTTCGCGGATGGGACTCTTTTCTTCAAACCCTTTCTCTTCCAACTCCGGAGAGGAAATTACTCCGCAATCATCATGACTGGGCGCGTTGCTGGGCATTTCCAGCTGTTACCGCGTTTGCTACATCGGCGTACCTCGGCAATAAAGAATCCGTCACCAGCGCGAACAAAGATTGCCCGGCGCGTTCCAAATGGCTATAGAGCAACCTTGGCATTTCTCTTATGATTCATGGCCAACGGTTTGCGCTCAAGTATAAGATAATTTTAAGATATTCAACACGACATTATATACAATTTCACGACTGCAGTCGTGGTCATTTGATAATAAGAAAAAAAGTTAGGAGATATAAACATTCGTCAGGATATATATATATATATTGTGAGTGGATAGTCTAGCTTGTAAACAAAAATAGTATCGTATCAGAAGGCAAGTATTTGTGATTTTGTTCCTTAATTACGCTGTTTGCTTATTTGTTTGCTTTGCCGTTAAAAATAGCAGGCTCCATGTAAATTGCAAGAATTTTTTTTACGTAGAGATTTGCAGTGTTGTTTATCGTAATTTAAATTCTAAAATATATACTGACGCACGATATTTTTTTATATCGGTGTACGATAAAAATAAAAATTCAGTTTTATCGACAAATACTTTACATATATATTTTCTTCTTCATGGCTATTGTGTAAAGAATATACTGTGCTTTTCCAACATATGACGCAGCGCTGAACGATTATTCGCAAATTATTTAAGAATGTGCGGAAATATGTTCTCCAAACTTCTGCAAACTTTCCCCTTGTAGATATACTTTTTAAGTTTACGATTTGTCAGTATCGTTTCGTTTCGTTTAACCATAATTCTCGGCAATCGAGCACAACTGCAGTGTACAAAACTTACCCGCGTGAATGAATCGTTGCTCGGGATGTGCTCCATCGGCAATCGGACACTCATGTGACGATTGACTTTTGAGTAATGGAAATAACGCGACTCGGAAACTCGAGATGTCTCGAAAATGTAAGCGAGATACAGGGGGGGAAGCCCGTCTTCTGTTATCTAACCTGTTATTTCCTCCGGCACATATTCGATTTCAACGAGTCGCGTGTTATCTGCTACTGCACAACAAGCACAAAAGGTATTCGAATTATTAGGCACGCGAAAGATTAGAATATTGATTTTGAAATCTCTGTCACGTAAGCTAATGAGAATTCATAAGATGAAGATGTTGTCCAACTACGCGCAACGTCTGGCAATTATTATCGAATTATCGAGCAACGGAGTTGAAGAACAATCCGAGTTCAATTTATTTCAATTATTTATCGAATTATATTTAAATTAATATCATTTCAATTTATTATCAAATTATATTTAAATTAAAAAAAAAAAGAAAGACATAAAATTCGTAAAATAAAGGGAAATTCATTTTTCGTTCTCCGTTGTCATCGTATTAAGGAATTAGAAATGAAATTTCTGCCGTTCAAACAACTTCTTCTAGATTGAATTTAAGCTCGAGGTAGAACTACTTTGCAAAATAATACAAATTCAATTACGATAATTCATTCGCAAATTACTTACGATCACTTGCGAGAAACCGATAATTAAGAATCAAGTAATTCGATCACCGAGAGCGAGGAGGAAAAATCGTCGCGTCCAATTTGGAACAAAGCAAGGACTACGGACAGTTCTAGCGTTGTAACGTTCTACCGTAGATTCGAATTTTCACTGAGGTGACTTCCTCGACGTGAGCAGATATCTAGCTCGATTCTATCGAGAAAAAGAGGGGGGTTGAGAGAAGCTCTCGAGGTGCGTAGTACAGAGGTGATTCGGTGGCTGTCGAAGCCAGGGATGTATTGAGCTCGAGAAAGTCGCCGGTCCAAGGCGGGCAAGATTTTATACGCCAGTTGCGATTGGCTGCCTACGGACACGGAAGAATATCGTGAATTATGTTCAGCGATGGAATCACATTCTATTCTTTTTTGAGTTACGCGAATATATTTTTGGCAATATTATATCTGGAATTCTGGCAGATTTTTAATAATGATCGTGTCAGTAATGACGCGATTTATAATTACCATAAAATTTAATAAGATGACAATGCGTTTTTTGTACTTATATTAAATATAATATCTTAAAGTATTATACTTAAATATATAATCATGTATTTTTAAGTATATTGTATGTATAATGCTTCATATATTATACTTTTCCTGCATTTTTAAGAAATTTATAAATATTCGTGTTTATATAACACAAAATAATTGCGAAAATTTTCCGGCATATTTGAAAATCGTTAGATTCATGGACCCATCACTGGCGGCAAGCGAGGAAACGGGTGAGACCGGCCGGTTCGTACAAGCACTCCTCACGCGACCGAACGCCCGTGTGCAGCTTTCTAATTGTTCTTCCTGATCGGTTCTTACTGGCGGAGAGCGCGGTTACGTAACAGGACGTCGTACCGGAGAAAAGTCAGGTAATGTTTTCGCTCGAGCGGTTACGTGGCGTTGCGCGAGACGATTACGGCGAGAAAATCGCGTAATCTTGGGAGAACCACGACCTTTGCGGAGAGAGAGAGAGAGAGAAAAAGAAGCTCATGCACTACAAACCTTTGACTATATAAATATGGACTGCTAGTCCCCCCGATTTTACTATGTAAAAAACATATGCCCAGTGTCGCCGAGCTGAAGTTGGTTGAGGTATCGAACTTCGATTTTTAGGCTCCACCCCAGTCAGTAAAAAAAATATCAAATATCTGTCAAAATGTATTAAATGTTATGTTGAAAATTGAGCCATTGAAAGGGAGCCAAAAAAAATCTCAAAAAGACGGAATGAAATTAAAAACAAACTCAGCACCTTTTCTTTACACGCGTAAACACGCTGATTTCACAGGAGCCTTCCCTCTCCTCGCAGAAAATTACTGACTGAGGTGGAGTCTACATCTCCCAGCTTGGCGACACGTGTGAAGTTATACTTATATAGTCAGTCCATACTTATATAGTCAAAGCTACAAACACAATTATACTCTGACACCGCTCGTTTTTGAAAAATAGCCTGCGAGATTGACGCGGACTTTTTTATTCTATTTCCCTAAGAAAGGAACAAAGTTTCTTCGTGTGTTGCAATTATAAACTTCGAGCGAGAAAGAGAGAGAAAGACACGGGAAAATGGGACTTTATAAGTTCTATCATCTATACGTCAGTCTTTTCAATGCCATTGACACCGACACTATCGTGTCGCGCATGCATGCAAAAAAGTTTGAATAATACTGAATAATATTCTTGTGAATAGTACTCCTTCGTTGCATAATACGCCTTGAGGAGGTGCAACAGGTTACGCTAGCATGCACTCCTAGTGCAAACACCTTAAATTCTACGCATCGCGTGTGAGGCTCGAAACGCGGAATTAATGTACAGAAACAACGCTCAACGTTATGCTTTGTCAAAATCTAGCGAAATTTCACTTCTATTTTATTAATTTGATAGTAATAATTCAATAAACATAAAATTAAATGAATTTACATTGTCGTAAAGAAAAATTAAATTAAATTAAATTTAAAAATATTTAAATTAAATTAAAAAATTTAAATTAAATTAAAAATAAACGGTTATATTTTTTATTAATAAACACCTTTTAATAATCAATAATGAAATATAATGCAAATTAAATCAAATCATATTTGTAATTCATACAAATGAAATAAATCAGTTATGTAAATTATATGTTACATAAAAATATTACATATACACATACAAAATATATTACAATGAAAATTATAGCTACGTAAAAAAAATTAAATCATTGCATCAAGATATTGCGGGACATCATGAGTATCATGTAGGTATCATATTTGCAAACGAGGTTCAAAGAAGAGAGGCCAAAGGAATGAGCGAAACGAGACGCGCAAAATTGACGGCGTCGAACGCACGTAAGGCCAAGTTATGTCAAGTTACTCGGCGCGTTTACTTTCTAACCGGCATCGTTACGTGGACCTACGACAAAGTATTACAACTGTAGTTGTAAGTGGTGACACTATCGACGATGAAAGAGGATGTTTGCAGTCGTTGAGATCTGTTAAGTAAGATCTAATCTGATACGTCAATGATCTGTACACAATGCATTTTATTAACTGCATTAGCTAGCACGTTTTTTTATTATTTGTAACGGATTCTTATTGGCTTTCATATACGGAAATAACTTTAAAGTAAAAATTGAAATTATTTTAAAATTGCTTATTACATCTAAGTTTTTATTATAATTCTTTCTTTTTCTCTTTATTTAGACAATTTAAGACAATCTTAGACAATTTAAGAAAACTTCATTTATCATTTATAATGACTGTGTGTTATTATGTGTGCTATTATGACCGTGTGTTATCTGATTATTACTATCTATATTTTGATGCATCAAGCATTTTAATGTATGCACCGCGGTTTTAATGTATTTTCTCTTTTCATTGTTTTTTATTTAACATTTCCTCAATAAGCTTCACACACAATTTTAAGTTTTCCGGTTTTACCAAAGAGATTTAATTCCGTTGAATAGCGCTACTTACACAACACGTCGGAAAATAATCGGAAATTCCGGCGGACGCATCAACCGGCGGAAAAACTATCGATTCGGAACTATGCATAATTTGCTTACGTGTACAACAAACAGATATGGAAACGGTAATGCCGTTAATTTTATTTATATTCTACAGGACGAGGAAGTGCGAGGAAGCTCGTATTCTCAATCGTCGAATTATCAGAGTTGAGGAAATATTCCGAGAGAAAAAAAAACTTCCGAGGAAAAAGAAGTTCGAGGAAGAAAGACGAGAAGCTCATTACTGCATTTGCAAAAACAGCATAAACATTCGATTGAATGGAGAATAATGCCATTACTTATTTCAACTACCTGTGTACACTATAACTCGAATAATAATGTAAAATGTTGATTGCGCAGCAATAACGTGAGAAATATAATTTTCATTTATTCGAGGCACCACTTATACAAATGACCATTGGGAATTACAAGGCAAACATCTGCACCACTATATTATTGCGCTCTTACTCGGCACAAAATTCACCTTCGTCATTATATTACTTCCGACGTGCTTTGCAGGAATTATGATTTCCAACTAATAGCGTCTTGCAATGCAAATGAGGTGTGAGGCGACGATGTTTGGTCGATCCATGAAAATCTATTCTATATTGATTAGCGGGGTCATCGCTCCACTGTACTCTAATTATTTGCTCGATTACTGTTCCAATTAGGAATACTATATTTTCCTATATTAAATATGCATGCGTGCGCGCGTGTGTGTGATATGCGAGCCACTTATCTACGAATTGTACTGTCGGAAACTACTGGCATTGAAAAAAACTCTTGTATGCGTGTGCGTATGTGTGTTTTCAGCACACGTATTTTCCATAACTAAATGCGTGACAAACTAGATAAAAATTTGTATCAATCATAAAATCGTAAAAAAATAAAAGATTGACATTTATACATTTCAGAATCTTGAACTGCAATTACTTTATTAAACTTAGCAAGTTAACTTAGCAAACTAACTTTCGACAAAGAAATTTTATTTTTCTGAATTTTCTCTTGCAAAAATTGCACCACTTCTTTTATATATATGAATTAAAATTCGATATTAAAAGAAAACAAACGATTGTCGCAATTGCAAATGAGGCAATACATAAACAAAATGTATAAGTAAAAGACACTTCCGAGTATGCGATGTAAGAATTCAGACGTTTCCATACATGAGTGCGATTCCACGAATTGCACTGATGAGTGATCTCGCGTATGTTTTTTCCGCGTTTTTCACAGTATGAGAATCCGGTGGATTTTCCATCGTCGTGAGAGAGCCGCACTATAGGTGTGCGTAAGCAGTTTTGTTTACAACTCGTTTACATCAGAAAAGGCAATTGCCGTCACTGCATTTATGAATATGCAAAATATTTGCAATATGTTAAATATCAATAGGAATACAGAACTGCAAGATGTGCAATGACGCAATGATAGCTCGACAACGATTGATATCCGATTATTGGACTTTGCGTCGAAAGATCACGCAATATCGTGCATTGTTGCATTAATAAATACGCAAACTATTTATGTCAACGAATAATATATACAAAGATACCTTTATAAGATAGAGAATAAGATATATGAATATATTTGTATGAGATACGGGAATAAGATACTTGAAGATATCAATATAAGGTACTAGAATAAGATACAGAGATATTTAAAATATCTTTATTCTGAAAGACACGCATTTTTCCCTATATATATATTATATATTAATATATTTTATTTACTGTTATTCACTGTTTGTATTGTAGCTCAGCTGATTCTGTTTACATATATAGGGAACAAATGCGTGTCTTTCAGAATAAAGATATTTTAAATATCTCTGTATCTTATTCTAGTATCTTATATAAATATCTCCAAATATCTTATTCTCATATATCATATAAATATCTTATATATAAAAACATACATATATATTTCCTCTTCTTTCTTTTCACGATAAATAAAATATTCTTTTCTTATGTTTTTTTAATAACAGATTGGATAATTTCTTTCCAATCTATTATCTTCTTTGAATAATTTTGTTAAAGAAGCGTGATATAAATATAAGATTATAATTTTTTTCATATATGATTACAAGAAAAAACGGCACAGAAGCATTATTAGCAAGTGACGAATAAAAAAAAACAGAATCAGCTGAGATACAATGCAAATAGTAAATAATGAATCAAGATGACGTTGTGACTTCTACAAATGGTTCTTTTTTCATAATGGAAATATTTGTTACGACCGTATCTTCTTTGGATAATTTTGTTAAAGAAGCGTGATATAAATATAAGATTATAATTTTTTTCATATATGATTACAAGAAAAAACAGCACGGAAGCATTGATAGCAAATGACGAATAAAAAAAACAGAATCAGCTGAGGTACAAATGCAAATAGTAAATAATGAATCAAGATGACGTTGAGATTTCTACAAACGGCTCTTTTCTCATAACGGAAATATTTTTTACGACCATAAATAAAGATTCGACATCAGATCTCAATGAGAGAAAATTAAAAACTCAATTTATGCCGTTTCCAAGGCTAATAAGTAATGACTAGTTCAATTATGGCTCTTTAAACACTCAATCAATTTTATTATTAGCATTTAGTAATAGGAAGATAATAAAACGTTATCTGGGGATATGAAATACGCGTTGAATCTCAAATTCAAGAGCCAGTACGTTCCGTCTTGCCATCTCGTTTCTTCCATCGTTTCGCTTCACACCGAATTATGGCCTCAGTTATGCTTCTGACTCACCGCGTATTCCGTTGGTATATACGAATAATATTAGAACGCGGTACGAGAGAATCCGGTGCAATCCGCTTTCCGAAAGTCGACGCGACACGATCCAAGATCAAAGCGTAGATTCGGAACATTCATGTAAATTTATGGAATATTCCATTGTGTATATATTGGGGTTTACTTTTAAAGAGTATTTTTTTTTTAAAGAAAATAATGTAAAACGACATCATACATGCAATGCTTCATAGAAATGACAGTTTTAAAATATACCTTAATATCGCGATTAATATAATTAAGAAAATGTATATTGTAATCCAAATAATCTTTTTATCAATAGAACAAAATTAAATTCTAATGAATTTTAATTCTAATTTTTAATACATGGCAAAGTTCGATTGATGTTTGTATAATCCAATTCAACTGTTAGTAAATCACAAACAGACATTTTCTCTCAATACAGATCCGCGATTGCTCGCGTTATTTTTGTACTTTGGTGCACAGCACGTGCATCTGTTCATCCGCTTCTCGCTCATCCCGTATAGAAGCACGATCCTTAAAAGGGACTGCCCGGTAGAGTCCGATCGGTATTTTTCCAGAACGCGCTATCGAGAGACAATGACCCTTCCGATTCACTCGCGGTCGGAGCAAGAGAATTTCAGCTTACGACAGAGAACCGCTCTCTCGAAAGTTAAATAAATATTCAGTTCAGAAATTCTGAACGTCTAGCGCACGCTGAGTGTTTTTGAACTCGACCGGAATACGGGAGGAGAGGGCTCGCTTTGCTTTCGCTCAGGAACAAAGACACCACGAATGTCGATGATTCAAAGCTTAATCCGAGGAGTAAGCGCTGATTTTTTTTGGGGGGGGGGTGGGAAAGACTCTGATTCGAGAGGTCAAAAAGATTAATGGGAAGTCATTTAAGTCCGACCAAAAGAATAAATAAATGAGAATGCGTAAATACCGCAATTTAACGAATGCCGCAAACGTAGTTATTAATCATCATCACTCTTAATTTTTTCAACTTTCTGCGAAGTCTTCTTTTATACATTCTTTACAAGTCTTTCTATTCTCGTATTCATTTGTCGTATAATTTGTCGACTTGTAAGGGTGCAGTTACCACGATAAAATATCACTCGACTATTAACCGCAAAACGCAATTTCGCGTAATGGAACGTACAAGCGCACAATTACGCGCAATAAATTGGCGAGTAGCAAATACTATACTAAAGTGGCGCATACCAAATGCGATAAGATCGATACAAAAATCGCGGAGTCCGGTAATGCGGAAAAGCATGATTGCGCGGCATGGCAGCGCGAGCGCGCGAGCGAGGTTGGCTTTCATGGCAATGTCAAGGTATACCGAGCGTTAAGCCTTCTCGCGATTACGTACGAATCGAATGTCTCGCGATTACGCCGAGCTGTGTAAACGCGGTCGGCTGGGAGAGAACCCACCTGCAGAGTCTTTGTTCTCGCGTCGTCGGCGAGAAAGATTTTCCGGACAGAGAGGCAGAGACGGTTCAACGAAAGCCCTATCGATTTTCGTGCTACCCCTAGGAGCCATTAAATGCGAGACTTCTGATCTCTTCAGGCCTGCAGACTCCGGTTTACATAACGCGAAATCATGGGATTTGAATCTCCAGCGCGGAAGTCGAGGAGTCTGCATTTGCAAAAAGAATAAAGTAGGAAACGATTGTCCCCTTCGAAAAACCTTTGATTGTTTCTTCGTTTTCGAATGAGCTTCGAATATATCAGAGCTTTTATTCTCCCGGTTTTTCAGACACTCGCATTTATTTTTCGACGTGCATTACGTCAGATGTATTTCCTCGATCCGACTCGAGAAGCGAAACGTTCTACTAATCACGAAACGAGAGCAAAGCTAGAGATCTCTTTTTCTTGGCTTCGCTCGCCTCGCCTCGGCATGTGTAATCAATAATCGTTAGCCATTTCTTTCACTCCCACTGTGATTCATTACTTGCTTCTATTTTTTTTATACCTAATAAAAAAAATTAATTCTAAAATATTCCTCAATAATTTTAAAAAGCATTTTTTTTCATACGTATTTGTTACTGTTAATTTATAAAGAAATAAAATAAAAATTTAATTTGCGATCTATTTTAGAAAGCATTTGCGATTCGGAAAAATATATATTTCGTTGTAATAACGTAATATATCAATATTTTAATGTTAGATTTAACACTCATTATTGATTATTTCTATGTATACACGTATCATTTAGGTGCTTACATAAATCGCCCGCATTATCGCGATTAGTTCGTCGCTAATGACATTATAGATAATAGGATTGCAACTTTATGACGTGAACATTATCAAGAACAAATTACTCGGATTACAAAAAGTGCAGATCGGTAGACCAGTCAAGTTATCAAAGAACGACAACGAAGAAGAACGACGAGGCGCCCAAGTTTCTCGCGATCCGTCACCGGCTGCTGTTACAGTCTTCAATTAAGGTATCTATATTTGTAAAAAAAATCACACGATTTGTAGACAACGTGTATTGCAATTTTGAAAGATGACTCCGCGGAAACGCGCAATCGCGGAGAGGATTCGAGAGAAATCAGAAACGGAGTCAAGTTGTATAAATTGGTGCCAACCTTGAAACGGCCGTCAGCGCGTTACGCAATTGCGCGCGTACACGTGTGTGCGAAATTGCGTTAAACACGCCACTGCTAGTTCAACAACTGTATCATCTTGCGTAATAACGGCACGCCGCCACCATCGTCGTCGTCGGATCGAACCTGCGAAAACAAGCTTATCCCGATCGATTCCAACGTCGATCGTTATACTTAATCGTCGTTAATTAAAATAATCGCGCAACTCTAGTCGACGCGATCACGATCACGACCGTTTGTCGGTAATTGCTCGAGCAATCGAGCAATCGCGCGAGTGCCTTTTCCCTTTCTCGGTGCAAAATCAATAATCACACATATACACACACACACACATACGGTAATTACTAACAATAGCATTATGAATCATACAACGCGATCTGTTTTGGTTTCGAAGCAAGCCACACAATCGATTCCGTTCTTCGGCCTCTGTGTAGGCCTCTTCGTTCGTAATCCGCCGTGACGACAATAACATTCTTTCATCGACAATTTTCCCCGCCGAAAAGGTCAAGGGTCCATGGGGGATCGTTACTTTGCCGATTGAGTGATTCATTT